CAGCTCCACAGGCGGCCCCGTCCAGGAAACACACAGCCAGGCAGACGAGCTCCGAGCCATCTGAATGTGCTTTACTGGAGGCATCCATGTTTGTCAAAGAACACTACTGCCACCTACTGGTTAGTGACATTGTCACGGTGCGGTATCGGCTGTTGATCAAGTCCCAGTGCTGTATCTGGTGTTTGTCACAACGCGCTATTATCATCACACCTAAGGAGGATTTAGAGAAGCCAATGAACCTAACAATCATGTTTTTGGACTGTAGGAGGAAGCAGGAGTACCTGGAGAGAACCCACCATGCTCAGGGAGAACATGCAGACTCCCTGCAGACAGACCCCGGGCTGTTGTTCTGTCAGACCAGCGTACCCAGAGTCAATACCTGTTTATTTCTTACTTAAAATAAACTTTGAATCACCTCATTGGGCGTCTAACCCTTTAGTCGTACAAAAAACTTTGTCATTACTGAGTTTTTGATGTTTTTTGAAGTGTATGGCGATCTGACCTTAAATAGTTTTTTTGTACATGGTTAAAGGGATATTTGACCATTGAGGTAGTTTAGTCTATTTTTCATACAAAGCTAAAGAGATAAAAGCCAATCTAGCGTCTTCTGCAGCGCATTGACTGTTTATGCTGATCTGAAAGTACAGGGAATCAAACCCAGAACCTTCTTACTCCAAAACAGCATTGCTGCTCACTGCGCCACAGAGCAGCCACAGAATCACCACTTTTAGGTAAACATTGGTTTATTTGAGGAGGTTTCAGGAACATCTTGTCATAAATTTTAGTTTTACGCCATCATTCGGTTCCCAGTTCCTTCCTTTCTGTGGCCGATAGTCTGGCTATGGACGCGTTTATACAGCTCACCACCACACAGCAGTACAGTAAAGGAGGTCAGTAAATAATGTGTTTCTGTATTCCAAGGGATTTAGATCATATCTTAGGTGCGATAATCGCTGAAAACATGGAGTTTATTAAGTCGACTTTGCTCAGGAAAGAACTGAGGTTCATATTTAAATGCATCAATCCTTCCAGGTGCATCCAGTCAGGATGTCTGCTGGAGGATCTGCTGGAGGATCTGTGGTTCTGTGGACTTCTTTGCTTTCTGAACTTTGTCAGAGTTTGAAATATCTGAAGACTTCGAACTAAGAGTCAAAATTTCACCTGAAACATAAAACCTCGTTATTAGCGGCTCCTTTAAAAGATTAATAATCAAATATACCCAAATCTCTATAAAAAAGGGTTCTCTACACGACAAAACAACCTTTAGTTCCCAGATCTAGATCCTATAGAAATACAGTTTGTTGAGGTGAAGGAAAGAAACAGACTCTAAACTGTTTTTTTTTTACTTTTAATAACTCTTCATTTAGACAATTCAAACAATAGAATCAATTATTGATGTAAAACAAGTGTCAGTTTAAAACTCATTAAATGAGGATCTTGTTAAACTTTAGTTTTCCTTCATCTGACGTAGAACATCAAATGTTGTTAAAACCCCACAGATGATGAAATCCTCCATGTTCTGAATGGAAGTTAAACTCCAGCCTTATTGAGACAGTCTGACTCTGAGGGACAGGAGGAACTGTCTGACAGTCCCCACCAATAATCTCTGCTTTTTTCCCTTTCCACTCCTTTACTTTATCCAAAGGTAGCAGAGGGTGGCTGCAGCTGTCTCTGCTCAGAGTTAATTCCTCCCTCCTGCCTCTCGGCGTAACATCATCGGATCTGTCGCTTTGAGGCATCTGATTGGTGGTCGCATTACACTGCGTACAGAGTCGCTGCGTGGAGGAAGAGACACACAGCAGCATGTTGGGTTCTTCTTTACTAGTTAAAAGAAGCTGGGCTTCTCAGAGGACCATCAGTTCCAGGTTAAAATGTTCTTATTGAACAGAGAATCAGACTGCAGAGCTTCTACAGATCTAGAAATGTTGTTTCTGGCATCATTATTTTAGTAAAGGTTCATAGATCTTTTTAGAGAGAGCAGAGAGAGAAGTAGGGAAGCTGCAGATTTAAAGGTGAAACAGGTTTACAGCAGCCTAGTAAACTAGCTCCACCCACCAAGGAAGTTAAGAGTTAAAAGTTAAAACAATCGCTTCTTAAAATTCAATTATTTTCTCCACAGAATAATTTTATACAAATGAAATGTTTGTCAGTAATCCCATAAATTATGCTGCTGAAATAGAAAATAGATGATTTTTTCGGAGGCTTTTAAGAGAAGTCCTTCCCATGATCATCAATAAATGTAACCGGTTGTATTTTTCTCTCATCTTATTGAATGATCCTGCTTCACGCTTTGGTTCTGAGCAGATTTATTCAGAAGTTTTTTCCTCCAAATCGATTTCTCCTGCATCTTTTTCTTCTTGGGAATCCAACGATTGATGCTCTGACCCTCCGTGACCTTAACTCTGCCTCAGATCTGCAGCCTGCCTCCAGGAACAATCAGTGACGTCGCCAACGAACACAACCTGACGGTGCACTGGACGGAGAAGCACAGCCACAGGGACTGCGCCCTGTACACAGGTGATGCTCAGACCACACTCTAAGCTGATCTCTGTTTGCCATCGGCTCACCGTTCCCTCTGCCTCTTGTCCTCCAAAGGTCGGAGTGAGAGCTGGTGTCGGGACACAGCTACAGACCTCGAACTGTTCAGGTGCCGTTTTTGCATATTTGCAGCACTTTTTGCAAACTTTAGATGTTTTTTTTAGATGAAATGAAGCTGGTAATGTGTCTCTGTAGGAGTGAACTCTCCGTAGAGAAGACCTCGGTGTTGCAGTCGGAGCTGCAATCCGTCAGGCAGCTACAAGAACTGGAGCCTCTTAATAAATGTAGGTGCAGACTTCACATTTCTAGCATTAATTCATACGTTTACTCATCATGAAGCTTTAGCTCATTTGGGCTTTAATTCAACACCTAAACTGTTTGTGTTTCAAAGTAAAACAGGGTTTATACAGGAATGAGTAACTCCAATTTAATGCTTTTAATGCTCTTAGAAATGATTTTAATGCATCAACAAACATCCATGACTGTCATATCTATATATCTATATATAGATATATATATATATATATATAAATAAATAACGTGGCAAACTGCTTTGTCATCTTTACCTGCAGCCATGTCCTGAATTCCTCGTTTTTCAGCCAATTTTGTTGTAATTAGCATTTTCCTATTCTCTAGCTTTTTATCCGCCTCGAGCTTCTTTTTCCAACATATAGCTTTACGATCAACCTGAAGAAGTTCCACGCAAATATTTTGCTATATCAGGGTTTCTGCAGGTCCTTAAATTATTATTTTTAGGCCTTAATTAAGGCATTAAAATTCATTAAATGTGATCATAGTTGCATTTAAAATGCTTTATTAAAAAAAAAAAAAAACAAGTTCATGAAAACAGTTTTGTCAGATATATTTTATCAGATATAACAGTTCTGCATCTTTGCGTGGAGCTGCTTCCGGTTCATCATAAACATTTATGTTTGGAAAAGAAGCTGGAGGCGGAGAAAAAGCTAGAAGATGGAGAAACGCAGAAGTGGCGTAAAAACGAGGAATTCAGGACATGGCTGCAGCCTGTAGACGGTGAAGAAGATGAAGGATTTTGTCGTGTCTTTAATATATATATATATATATATATATATATATATATATATATA